TAAAATCTTATCAGAGTCCTCCCATGCATGAAACATTTACTTTGGAACAACTTTTGGAATCAGTTCAGGGTCTGGGTGTCTGTTTTGGGATCCCCAGATGATGATGTTACTGGTTATTTTGCCTGGGAGACAATTATCCACTTACAAAATAAAAGCCTTTTTTTCCATTTATTCTGCTGTTTTTTATATCTGCAGTGTAAACATAAACTGTGGAGTCTTGACTCATGACTTCAACTGCAGTCCCAAGTGATATTTACCAAATTCAGGTTAAATTTCATTATTCCTTTTTAAAAGTGCCAGCTTTAATGCCAACATTAACTGAGATCTTTTTAGCTTGCTATCTTGTCCAGCAGTATTTGTTGATATAGCAGAGTATTTGAAGAGCGTCTTTAGTATGAGAAGTTGTACAAGGACTGAAACACAAGCAACCTCCCTATTGTGAAGGATAACTTCGGGAAAGAAGGCCTCACCTGATGATCTCTGTCTGTTGAATTTGCTGCTTTGTGTCAATAGCACGGAGCCAGGATTTGCAAAGGTGTTCTCCCACCTCTCAATCCACCCCTAGGGCAGAGAAAGAAACAAGCTATAATGTACAAGCTCTTTGTCATTTGTTTAAACTGTCTATTTCTAAAATCTATTTGAGAAAACCTGAGAGAAAATACCCCAGTCTAGGTAGACCATGAAATAAAAATGGAAGATCAAAGCACTAAGGAGCCAGAAGGAAAAGGGCCTGTGATTACCTAGCAAGAAGCACAGGGTAAGATTTTATATTCAAAGGTAGGAGAAATATGTAGTGGAGCACATACTTTTTACTAACTGATAAAGCACACCAAATTTTCAAATACCATGTATTTTTTTCCCACCACAAAATTAGAAAAGGACTTCACTGCATGGGTCCTTTAGGAAGAAAGTGAAGTAAAGGAGTTGACAGTGCCTTCTCTTATAAATGAAAGAAATGGTCTTTAAAGAAGCCCATTTTATACCACTACTGCAACATCACCATGGGTGCCATGATGTTGAATGTCATTCAGAGGGTGAGCCTCACTAGACATGATCAGACAGGTAAACTTTTAGGGATCTGACATGGCGATAGGAGCATCTGAGGCCAGGCATCCTTCTGTTTCTCTAGGCATTCTACCCTGAAGGCCTATTGCCCAGAGTTTCATGTCGAACTTACCACATGAGCTGGAAAGATATCAGTTTGAGGTTTAAATTTATGGTGAAAGGTTGGGATGCACATAGATTTTGCTGCTGATTTGGAAAAGAGCCATTTGTTATGGATAATATAAGTGAAGCAGTTCCACAGACTGACTGCATATTACCCAAAGTCCCCTTTGATTTTTCTCAACACCAGAAATGCAAGGGATCAGACAATTGCCTATGGATTGAGTGTGGAAGGCACGTTTCTAGACATAGTAGACCAAAGTGGAATTCAAGTGAAAGATGGAGACTCCATGATTAATTTCCACAGACAATTTAATGCCCAAATACTGAGTTCCTCATAGTAAGGACAAGGTTTGGTCCCTAAGGACAAGGTTTGGTCCCATGAGATTAAAATGTCATGTGGGAGCACACATCCGTCACAAACTAATTGCTAATAACAATGATGATCTCTTATTTCCATAGTATTCTGAATCAAATTGCTTTTCAGATCTTGCTTCACTGTGGTCTCACTTCAGCACTGGCAGGGATGTTGAGTTGATTTACACTAACATTGTTATTTCCAAATCCATAAAACACCAACAACTTTAAATGCTTGATTTGCTCAGCCACAGAATGAGGAAAATGAACCAGGACCAGAACCCTGGTGTCCTGAATTACAGACCAACATTCCATCAGAATTTAGAGAATTCAGAGAAGCTAAACTAGTCTAAAGTTTCTAATAAGGGTTGAATCACTGTGGGATTATGCAAAAAAAGTCTTCAGCGAAGGAACAAAACTTGTTGTCACAGGTAGGTGTCAGAAGAATGCAATTTTTTTGAGGTAATAGAGGGAAGTCCAGAAACAGTTAATTGAAATTACAGGTAAGAATGTTAAGGAAAAAAACAGAAACATGATGGGGATCAGGTGTAGAATGCTTAGGAGAGATTTTAAAATGAATCCTTACAGTAGAACAGTATAGACAACACTGTGCTAATATGTAAAAAGATCAGGCTTTGTGTACATGTGAACTTGCATAAAGTGCTCATGATAGACATATGTAATTTCGTCCAAGGACGAAGTTTTTCATTACAGGATAAGTTTTGTGAGTTGACACGTTTCTTTTCTGATACTGAAACTATTGTCAAAGAACCTGGCCTTTGGAGTCACAATGACCTGGAACTCCAGTTCCACGCTCCCCCATCCTTACTTATGGCTTATGTGACCCTAGGCAATTGTCATCTGGCCTCCATTTCCTAATCCATAAAATGGGGCAACAGTATGTGTCCAGCAGGGGTTGTATGAAAATGAATGAGGCAGTGTGAAAAAAGTACTTGGCACATTGTCTAACACAAAATAGTGGTGGCTGAATGTTACCCCAATTCAAATACACAGAGGGATTTGTATCCAGTATGGAGAGCTGTTCATAGGCAATCACACTGATGGAGAAGATAGTCTCCAGAGGATTCAGCTTTATTTCTAACTGCTCAGCTGGCAAACTAGCTTACTGTCAGCTCTCACAAAAAAGTTGCATTTGGAGGTACTTGTTTCTCTTTAGTAGACTCTTCACTTGGCAAGCAAAATGAGATTAAAATGCATTTTATTTTTGTTGCTGTTTTATGTGCTTTAAATTGTAATCTTTTATCTTAAATGACATAATCTCTAAAATCAACATTTGTTGGCCCTAAAATTTATAGGCAATGAATTTGGGCTTAAAGCCTGTATTTATCAGGAAAAGATTTTAAATTTAAACAGAAAATGGTGAAGATGTAAAGTCAATTAAATATAGTTAGAAATATCATAAACTTGAAATTCACATTTTAATATGAAATAGCCACAATTATTTATGGGTAAAAGAAAATGATGCCAAAAAAATAGAGCACATTTCAATTAATATCAACATGTGAGTTTAAAATATCAAACTTTGAATTAAAAATCTTGTTGAGATGTGGTAAATTTATGTAGCATTCATACATACTGCTGCATCTTAATCAAATATAAACAACTCAGGCAATTTAACTCAAATGCATTATTCCATTACACAAATGATTGTATATAAATGTATTAGGCATATTTATTTTTTACACTGGGTTCCATTTATGCATCACAAAAATGATTTTGACCACAAAAACCTGTTAATACATGTAAAAAAGAATGTTTAAAGAAAACACATGTAGTATACTTATCCAAAACCTAAGCACTAACCATATACAACTAAGTACATTAATGCTCAGCTAACAATTACATTGAGAAAGTTTTGGAAGTTCAAGATTCATTTTATCCTGAAAAGAATGAAACTTTAAAGAATCTAGCTAAGGAAAAGGGGCAGGAGGTAAGGGTAATATGTTATTGAACAGATTTTCTATGCTCATCATTTGATTTTCAATTTCTTTATTATAATTAATCAGAAATATTCCTATTCCTAGAAGAAACTAAAATTCCAAATGAAAAGTATATTATTTCATATATTGACTAAAGACTAAAATCATTTAAGTAGAATGTACTATTGAAAAATCAATCTTGTTTTCTATAATATGTTGTTTAAGTAAAAAACAAAGTATATGGTTGGAGATACATAGAGTGCGTCACTATTACAATCAATAAAATACCATTTGCACTAAAAGAAAAAGACATATGTAATTAAAATAAGCACATGTGACCCAAATATACTTACAGCATGAGTAAAAATCTCCAGTGTTTGCTTACTGATTTAGAATGAAAATCAGGAGCTTTGCTACACAGACAGGAAGACTCAAGAACGCCTTTCCTTTTCTTCTCAAATGAGAAATCCAATTCCTGTTTCCTTAAGAAACTGCTCACTAAATATCAAACTAACTCCAAACTAGCCCAAAGAGAATACTAGTAAAGCATTTTGCACATTTCCATTTGTGTTTCAATTGGAAAGAGTTCTAATGTATAATATCAATCATTAGGTTAACATAAATGTATAATCAAGTAACATTCCTGCATTAAAATGACATACCTTTGTAAACTATGTAATGTTCTGTTACATTTTTTGACATTACGTCTTCAAGAAACTCTGGAATATTACACCAGTTATTTACACACTTTATTCAGAGGTGAAAGCACTGTGGAGCTCTAAAACAGTTCAGTCTTGATTCAAATTTTGGGAGGGACACTAAGAGTCAAAATACACTGCATACTTGGTCCTGCTTCAGCTTCAAGTGAAATTCCAAAATTAAATGTGCTTCTGGTCAACAGTGTCTAAAGTGAAACAAAATTCTGATAGGTGCATTACTTGATAAGGTTAACATAAGAGCATATCTGAATTTAAAAACAGCATTCTGTTTTTAATGGAAGTTTTGGACACATTGCAATATCACTTCTAAATTCAAGGTATTTTAAATAATTTGAAGGTGCAGCTTTTAAATCCCGCACTTCTCCAAGGCCTGGAGGGGCTTGGATGTGAAACTGAGATGTTATATAAAATTAAAAATCAGGTAGGAGAACGCCATTACTTCAGAACTGGGCATGGATCCAATTTTGAAGCTAAAGGGTCAACTTGATAAACTGTCAAGTACATGTACATGTGGAAAATATTTCCATTAAAGCAAGTAACTGTATTGTTTAAAAACAACCAAGTTTTAATCCAGGCTCTTCCAGTTACTAGCTGTGACTTGGGACAGGTTACATAAGCCATTGAACGTCTTTTCTCATTGAATTACAAGTACCTCACAACCTACTGTGCATGAAAGGCTATGCATGGGGACCACTAATCTAAATGGCAGCTTTTCTTCTTTTTACTATGTGCCAGGTTGTTCCTAATCATATTATGTTTGTATTTCTCTAATAATTTTTTAAAGTTGCTATTCCCTTTTCCCCCACAGATATGAGACTTGATGCAGACATTTCTCCCAAGCCTACTATTTTTCTTCCTTCAATTGCTGAAATAAACCTCCATAAGGCTGGCACATACCTTTGTCTTATTGAGAAATTTTTCCCGGATGTCATTAAGATTCATTGGAAAGAAAAGAATGGCAGAACAGTTCTGGAGTCCCAGCAGGGAAACACCGTGAAGACTAATGACACATACATGAAATTCAGCTGGCTGACCGTGACTGAAAAGTCAATGAATAAAGAATACAAATGTATTGTCACACATGAGAAAAATAAAGGAGGGGTGGATCAAGAGATTCTTTTTCCTTCAGTGAATGAAGGTATGTATATGAATATAACCACTTTTTCCAAGGTAATACTATACATTTTCTGTCAAGTATTAATTAAAAACATATAGAAATCCATTTCAAATGTTGCATTTAACAGCAGCATGTATATCCTGCTATTTCCCATAGAATTAAACCTGTATATTCACTTTGGAACATTAAAGGAAAAAAATTACTTAACGTTTCTCATCCTCAGTTTCATCATCCATAATGTCATGGTCACAGTGGTATTTTTTAGGGTGTTGCATGAATTAAATGAAACGACGCCTGGGAAAATACCTGGTACCTTAGCACACAATGAGTGCTAACAAAGAGATTCCACTTTTGATATTCTTCCGTGATCAGGAAAGAGGAACGATGATAGATCTTTCAGGAATGTTTTCCTCAGCAAGCAAAGTCACTCTCACTTCAGTCTGGCTTTACTCAAAGTATAACCATGAACAGAGAACGATTAGTTCATTTGAGGATGCCAGCTGTGGCTTCACAAAAAATAGAGTATTTTGGCTGCTACAGTTTAATTACAATCTTAGGTTTTTCAGATTTGTATTTTATATTCCACCATAGGATCAAATTTCATAATTCAAGATCGGGTAAGGCTACCATGTACAAACATACCATGTTCTACATAATGAGCGGATTTCTTGCCGATGTAAGTAGAGGTGCTCCACAAGCATTTATTGCAGTGCGAGCATGTGCCAGGCCTGGAAGGGGCGTGAGGATGAACACCGGCAAGAATGACGGTCCCAGGATTACCACAGTAAAGAGAATACGCTCTTTTCCTTATCACTCAGAGTCACTCACGCGTCACCCATGATGTCCCCAAGGAACCCCATGGGTGGGGATGCTGTACATACTTAGACACGCGGGCAAAGGGCTGAACGCCATCTGGCCCAGCGGTCATCAGCAGCTCAGTGGGCCCAGCACTTAAAGTTCTGAGGGTTAACACCGCAGACCCAAGGCCCCAGGGTGTCCATGAGAAGGAATTGGTTTGTGCTGTTCCTCGGGGCTGACCAGGCTTTTTTTAAGTATCAGGGAACAAGCCCAGCCCTTGGCTGTGTACCAGCCTGAATTTCTGAAGTCAGTCTTTATCTTCCAGGAGTCAGGTTAGGCTTGAACACTCCCCTGGCTTTCTCCTGAGCTCACTAAAGAGCAAACGAAATAGTGGCAGTGGAAATACTGGCTTTTGAAACATAACATTGATGTATTTATCCACATGTCTATTGTATTTATATATATATCCTTTCCTAAAATTAAATAAAGATGACAAAAACTGCCCTTTCTATTCCTAAATTAAGAAATAGAGGGGCAGCAAACACGCAATGTGCACATGAAATAAAACTACTGGGCTTAAGGCTTCAGAGATTTTGATTTTTCTAGGGATCAGGGAAAAAGAAGAAGTATAGTAATTTCCATACAGTAAGTTCCACTATGAAGGAGAGAAGTTCCAGTCTATAAAACATTTCAGTTGTGCCTCCACTTCTGAGACAAATGTCTCCCAGGGGCTTCTCAGGCAGCAGAGCCGATTTGGGTATTTCTGTTAATGTCATTCTACATTCTAATGGCAAATTTCTTTCATGGAAGTTTTTTGTTTACTGTTTTTTGTTTTTGATAAAAGCTAAGAATATAACAAGGAATCACAAATCCATGAAGTGATTATGAAGGGAGAATAAGCTAATCTGGTCTAAATTCTTGACCCACCTTGACTGACAAAGAGAATTTAAGATAAACACACAGACTTCATTACGAAACAGACTTCATTATGAAAAATTCTTATTTTTTTTTTTGTGTTTACCTAAAGCAATGCATGGCAGTAAGAGAATTTTATTTATCCTTTAATGAATAAAGTCCCTGTATAGACAAGAAAGAGACTTTGAAAACACATTGAAGTCAGTTCTAATCTAAACATTTCATTCTCAGGATTTACCCCAAAGCCTATAATTCAAACCTGCTGTTTTGAAAAGCACAACACAAAAAAGATCTCTTTGAGTGCATAAAATTGCATACCAGAACCACGTCCACATGGACAAGAACATATCTAGTTAAAAAATAAAAACCAAAACATTGGGGCTCTTTTCCTCCATTCATCAGTCAGTTGTCTTTCTAAGAAATGTTGTCTCTGTAGGTGTTTGCTTTTTTTCTTTACTCTTAGAAAAATACAACCTACATCTTTTTTTTATAAGGCTTTGTATGCTCAGAGAACTACAAATGTGACTTGGGTTGTCTTCCTGTCCCTAGGAAAAATTGCACTGAAACACTGAGCTTCTGTAATGAAAAGGTCAGTTGCTGAGAATAATGAAGATTCGTAGAAGAGGTGTTTCTAGTGTTTACAATGGCAGAATTATACTGTCTCTCCATAGATTATTTTCTATTTCTGCGGATTATTTTTCCAAAGTACTTTACCCACACTCTATCTCATTCAATCCACATGGTGACCTTTGAATGCTGGCTCTGCCGGTCACTGGTGTGACCCTCTACAAGTTACTTACACTCTAGACCTTGTTTCCTCATTTGTAACATGGAGCACCCTAAAACACAACTCACTTCAGTTTTATTTGTGTTACTGGGGGAGTAAATGAGATAATGCGTGTGAAGCATTTTAAATAGTGTGTGGCACAGTAATAGTCAATAGCTGTTAGCTTTTATTCATATTGTTATCATGTCCACAAACACCACAGCTCCAGAAAATCATGTGCATGAACTGGGGATCTTGGGGACAGGCATGATTTGGAAAGGTATGATTGTTTTCCTTTGCTTAGATGGGAAATTTGCCTAAACCAGCCTCCTTCAAACATTAAGCTGCTGCTGTGGATTCTAAGATCGGACGCATTTATTTTGGTAGCAACCCTTCAGGTCAGCAGTGTGTGCTACAGACTGTGGAACAACTACTTTTTCTGTTGTTGTTTTTTTTTCCATTCAACAAGTATTTACCTATTTACCAACTACCTATTTTGTGGCAGTCACTAGTGTTAGAAGCTATGAACACAGAAGAAAAATAAGATGGTCTTGCATATTACCCTCTGGTCATGATAAAAAGGAAAAAAATGTGTCCTTCATGGACTTCAACATCTTCATGCACAGAAACAAAATATATGGATTAAATCTGAATTACATAGAATCAGGCCAATTAGTCCTGGATTGTGGGGCTCATTATTTTAATGAGCATCTCTTTCGGCAAATTCTACCCATCTATGTATTTATCAGTCAATCAATAATCTATCTATTTCTACTCATCTATCTACACTCACACAGAAACACACTGTCAAATAATGCGTATGAACAATTGATTAACACTTGCTCTCATTTCTTGCAGTGGTTACTGCTATCAATTCTACAAAAACTTGTCTGAAAAATGAATATGGTAAGGTTTTGTGTATGTTTGCCTTTACGTCAAGCTAGAGCAATTTTTTCCATCTGAAAACTTGACTTTGAACTTCTTTGGCTTAAGGTAGAAAACTATTCCTAGAAATGTGGGACTCATATTTTTAATGACCTTCTCTGTTGGCAAATTCTGTGTATCTACCTATCATTTATCTATTATCTATCCATCTATCTTTCTACTTATCCATCTGTCATCTATCTATATATCATGTATTATCATCTGTCAATCATCTATCTGTATATTTACACATCTATCCAGCTCTATCTGCACACACACAGACATACATTGTCAAATAATGGATATGAACAATTGATTAATACTTACTCTCACTTCTTATAGAGTTCACTGCTATTGATTCCACCAAAGCTTGTCAAAAGGATGAAAAAGGTAAGTTTTTGTACATTTGCCTTATGGCAGGCTATATCAATTTTTTTCTTCCTCATCAACATAACTTTTGAACTTCCCTGGCTTAAGGTAGAAAACTATTGCTGGAGTTGTGGAGCTTATATTTTTAATAAGCCTCTCCTCTGTTGGCAGATCCTATCTATCTGTTATCTATACATGCACACTCAGGAACACTGTCAAAGAATGGATATGAACAATTGATTAATACTTGCTCTCATTTCTTGTAGAAGTACTGGAGGTCACTGCTAATAATTCTACAAAAACTTGTCTGAAAGATGAATACGGTAAGTTTTTGCACGTTTGCTTTTACACCATGCTATACCAATTTTCTTCTCCTGATCAATTTAACTTTTGAACCTCCCTGGCTTAAGGTAGAAAAATAAGAATGGCTGGATTTTGCAGAATAGACTGAATAATATTTTAAGTCAATCCATCATTCTTAGGGGTTGTCTTAATACAGCAAATGCTGATTTGGGTATGAGATGACTAAGTTAGAGGGTGCAATGAAATGCTCAGCATTATTTCAACAATGGACTTAACTAGTGTGGCTTTTGTTTTTAATAACTGGGAAAAACATGTATCAAGTTGCCTGTAGATTATTTTTAAGTCTTTGGTTCTCATTAATAGTTGATAATATGAACTGACAATTCGTGAGAGATTCTTATACAGAAGGCATTATGCTGTGTTTTGAATGCATTTTCTTATTTCATCCTCATAACAGTCCTATGAAATGGCACAATATTTTTTTCCCATTTTACAGATGAAGACAATGAGCTAAAATTAATTAAGTCCTTTGAACCATGACACATAGATGGATCTGGGGATTCAAACGAGGCCATCTGAATCAAGAGCTTATACAGTTACTAAGTTCTCTATTCTTCCTCTAAGGTATAGTCACAGAACAAGAGATCCCAAGGACAAGGTCCTGAGCCATGCTGGACATAATATGGTACACACATGATTGCATAGGCTTCTGATTACCACAGATGGGACTTTAACCCCAGTTCTTTTATTTCTTAAAATTTATTTATTTTGGGAAAGTAGGTTTTCTTTTTTCTTTTTAAAGTAA